TATGTGTATATTGATCCACTAGATGGTGTCCCATAAATCCCTTGGGATTTTTAAACTTTTCTCCATTCTTTTTTTTTTCTTTTTGTTCCTCTGACTCAGTAAGTTCAATCTGTCTTCAAGTTACCTAATTCTTCCTTCTGCCTAAGTCTGCTGTTGAACCCTGTAGTAAATTTTTTTAAATTCAGTTATTGCAATCTTCAGTTTCATAATGTTTGGTTGTTTGTCTCTGTTGATATTCTCATTCCATTCACACATTGTTTTTCTGATTTTTCACAGACTAGCTTCATACAGGGAAAGACTTTCAGTAATGTCTTGGCTTCAATAAGCAGCCAAGATAGATTCTGGGAACCTCTGGATCCTTTTGGAGGGGATGTTACTTCTCTGGGCTCATGCTTGTAATTTCCCATCTACAGACATTTGCCAGTTTGTCGTTACTTTCAGAAGTACATAATTTCCTGTTCTCTCTAGTGTCTGTCTGAGGTATTGCAGGTTCTCTGGTACTACTGCAGCCAGTCTCCCTGCTCTCCTTCATGCTCAGTGGCCACCAGGCATTCAAATTTTGTTGGCTCCCCATTAGCACCTCAAATTAGGTGACAAATAGCAGTCCTTTAGGCAGCTCTCCCAAAAGGCAGAATACTAACACATGTTCTGCTCTTTTCTTTCTTTCCCAAGAGAGAAGCTACACATTGGGAACGTTTTCTCAATTTTGCTGAGTGTGCAGACCTCTGTATCTGGCACTACAGGCACTCCACTGTTGCAGCAAGATGTACTTCCCAACCTTGTTGCAGCAAGGTGTACTTCCTTGCTTTCAATGGTCCCCAGGCATCCACAGTATTCCAGTTTCATTAGTACATTAAGTTAGGCAAGAGAGGAAACCAATCCATGGGCAGCCCTCCAAAAAGCCAGAACATTAGATGTATGCTCTGCTCTTCTTTTTCCCCCAAGGAAGAACCTGTGACCCAAGCTGAGCTGTGCTGGTTTGGGAAGAGACAATCACAGATAAAGTGAAATGGCTCCTTACCTGTTTCAGTGTGGTTCTTCTTGACTTCATGCTTGCCTGGGGTACTAAAACCTAATTCGTTTTTAGAATTCTATCAAAATAAAGGTATTTTGGTCTGTATATTGTTAAGTCAGTGTCTCTGTGGAGAAAATGAGGGCTGACACCTCCTATTCCACCATCTTGCTCACATCACCATCTCATCTCTTTCTTATGTGACATTTCATTTAATCCAAATCATTAATTATAAGACACACTGCAATTTTGGAGTAATTGTCATGAAAAAAAAAAGACCTATGGTGATGGTAAGACACCATCTATACAGTAAGATGCAGGCTGGGCACAGTGGCTCATACCTGTAATTCCAGCAGTTTGGAAGGCTGAGGAAGGAAGATCTCTTGAACTCAGGAGTTCAACACGAACCTGGGCAACATAATGAGACTCCCACCTCTAACAAAAATAAATAATTAGCCAGATGTGGTGGTATAAATCTGTGTTCCCAGCTACTGGGTGGCTGAGGTAGGAGGATTGCTTGGGCCCAGGAGGTGGTGGCTGCAGTGAGCTGTGATCACACCACTGCACTCCAGCCCAGGCAAGAGGGAGACCCTATCTCAGAAAAACAAACAAAAAATAACGATGCAACATACTCTTGTTGTGGCAATCCAGAGAAAGGGAGGGGAAGCAGGCAGAGATGAGAGGATAGGAAGCTACTGACATGCCTTAATGCAACTCCTCCTCACTAAGATTCCCTATCTCTAGAAAGGATTCTGAACTTATAAAAAGCTGAGTTCTGTGACAGGAATAATGGGGACAAAATAGAAAAGGTTTGTATAGATCACAGGAATCTCAGGCAAGAGATTATGAGGTCATAAACCTCAAGAATGTGCAGAAATTGTGCGGAAGGTTTGAACTTTCCCAGTTTGTGGAATTGGCAATGATCTGAGGCAATCATATAGAACTCTCTGTAAATCAGGAGAGTCCCAGTTGGCATCTGGCTTACACCCAGAGTACGTTTCTGAATCACTCATCCCCCTTTAGTTCATCCTCCACACTAGCCCAAGTCCTTTTCATAAATAAAGGGTGAATGTTATCATGTCATTCCTCAGCTTTAAAATTTCTTACTGTCCAGTCCACAATTTCTTATCCTGGCATCCAACACCCTTCATATTCTGGCCCATCTACCTTACCAACCTCCTCTCCTCCTCACACAGGGCATACTATCAAACATGCAAACGTTTCATTATTTCCTAAAACACTAAGCCTTCCCTTCCATCTGAAATAATCTTCTCCTTTGCTCTCTTTTCTCTGCTATAAACACCTATTCAATCATCCTTTCCGACTTCCCTCTCCTGTGAAGTTTGTTTCCCCAGCACCTTGTTCAGTGGTTTCACTTCCTCTGTGTTCCTTGCAGGAAGGACTATGCCTTATTTGCTTCTGGGCCCCACCGTCAACTATAGGCCAGGTTAAGGCACTCCCCTGGGCTTCTACGGCATCCTGGGTACAACTGTAATGATACCTATCATCCTGCATTGCAACTCTGGATTTATGTAGCATTCTCCTGCACTAAAAAACAGGGGCCATATTGTCTTCATTGTCAGTATTACAAGTTACTAGGTAAAGAGAGAAGGAAAGGGAGGGAAGGAGGAAAAGAGGGAGAGGAAGAGAAGAAAGGGTGGATGGAGTAACAGAGAAAGGGAAAAAATAAGGGGAATAAAGGAGAAAATAAAGAAAGTTAAAAGGAAGCCAGCAAGTGAATAAATGGACTAGTCAAGACTAAAAAGCATGGACTAACACAAAATTCTTAGCATATAAGTTAGGGTCAAAAAAAGGGCAAGTGAGCCAGATGCAGTGGTTCTAGCCTTTATAGGCTCCCAGCACTTTGGGAGGCCAAGGTGGGTGGATCACCTGAGGTCAGGAGTTCAAGACCAGCCTGGCCAACATGGCAAAACCCCATCTCTACTAAAAATACAAAAATTCATCTGGTGTTGTGGCACATGAATGTAATCCCAGCTACTCGGGAGGCTGAAGCAGGAGAATTGCTTGAACCCAGGAGGTGGAGGTTGCAGTGAGCCAAGATGGCATTCCAGCCTGGGCAACAGAGCAAGACTCCATCTCGGGGGGGAAAAAAAAAAAAAGCAAGTAAGATTGGCTGGGGAGTTATGTTTCAAGATCAAAGCAGGAGCTTGGTACATTGGTCATAGGCAGAACTGGCAGCAGACACTCATAAAAGTCACAGCAGTTGTCACAAAGGCTCCAAGTCAGGAAGGAGTCATACCAACTTCCCAGACTGAGAGGGGATCTGTAGACCTAGCTTGGCAGTGGGTATAAATGAAGAGCTTGGCCTTGGGATCAGACATACCTGAATTAAGTCGCAACTATGCCAATAGGTCCAGTCACTTAAACTTACAGAATTTTCTTGCCTTGAAAACAGGGACATTACTACCTTACAGGATAGTATGATCAGAGATAAGAGGAGTACAATAACTGGCACTTAGTAGGTATTTAAAAGACAGTGATCCTTATCATGTGTGCCACACACGTTTGGGTGACTATATGTTTAAAATATAGTGCACGGAGATTTTCAAGGAATCGGAAATTGTGTATGAAATAAAAGTGCTTGGTAAACAGTAAAGTGCCTTATAAATGTAAAGGAATCATTTGGGAAGTCTTTTATAGTTCCCTGTAATTACAGTTATAGTTCCCTAACTACAGGACTTGAATTTGAGCAGTAGTTCAGGTCCTACACCCTACATTTACTTGCTCTGTAACCTTGGGTAAGTCACTTTCTCTGTCAGTCTGTTTCTACATATGGCAAAACCAGGTCATTCTTAGCTGCTGTGAGAATTCAATAATAAGCATAAAATTCCTAGCACCTCTCTTCCTAGTGGCAGGGTCCCCATGTTAGGTAAGGTTATGGGTGATGTCAGTTCCAAGCCCAGTGCCAGAATCACTCTGCCAACTGGCTACAAATGTAGCCCCTCATTCTGGAAGACTAGGGCCCAGATTCACAAGAAAGGTAGACAGGGGTCTTCTGTATTTGTTACAGGAAGGGTTCTTTTGTATCTGTTAGAGGGAAGCTGGGTGAACACTAAACTTCCATGTAGAAACACTGAAATCTGCCATGTGGAGCCAGGCCTAACAGGAAAGCAGACATAATCCCTGCTAAGCTGTTCCAGCCTTGGGGACTAAACTATTGCTACTAAAAGCAAAGACTCATTATGGTTTTAAGATTTCTCTCACCTTATGCCACTCTTCACTCCCTACTCCCTGCCACTGCCATTTTTCCTAGGCACAGCGTAAGTGCTCAATCAGTAGCACTGAAGGCCAGGTGTGGTTATATGCACCAGCAGTCCCAGTTACTCAGGAAACTGAAGTGGGAGGATCACTTGCACCCAGGAGATCAAGGCTGCAGTGAGCTGTGAGCACACCACTGCACTCCAGCCTTGGTGACAGAACAAGACCTTGTCTCAAAATAAAATGATGAAAAGGTTCTCAAGCTTGCTACTGACCTGCCATAGAACAAATGGTCCAAGGTCATATTAAGAGGCCACACTGGCTCCTACCTCCAGGCAAACCTCTTAATTGGCTCCTTCTTCAGAAGCTAAAAGGTATATGTAGTGAAAAGAGCATCAGCTGGCAGTCAGGGAGGCCCAAGCTTGAACTCTGGCTCCATAACATACTTGCTATATGACTTCCTAGCAAGTGACTTCCTTTCCTCACTTCCATTTCCTTTTCTTATTCTCTTGGGGGTTGCTGTGACAACTATATGAGATTAAAAATGTAAATGTGACTGATAGAATCAATCACATGTAGTGGATGCTCAATTAATGTTAGTTCCTTTCCTTTCCCCCTTCTCCTCAAAGGCCCCAGAAACTCAGTCTGCTTTCCTTTGCTTTTCAGAGCAGCTACGCATTTGTCTTTCTTAGAATTCAGCTCCCATCCAGAGTAGGTTCAGTGGGACAATCTCCCCAGCTCCCACTTCCCCAAATAAGTACACGGGTCCTTTTCATTGAAGGGTTTTACTGCTAATCACTCTGGGGAAAACAGAGGCAGGTTGGGGGAGGGATAACAAGTAACAAACATGGGAGATTGTGAAGGTCCCTGGATCATGGCTCCCTGAGGGTTTCCCTTTTATTTCTAAGGCAGGACCTCAGATCTTTTCTCTAGACCAAGGAGGCCCCTTCCATTGAGAAGGCCACTCCTCCCAGCCCAGAGATCTAGAAGCAAAGCTGGGGCACAGCAGGTGGGACTAGCAGGACACTGCAGTGCACTCCTACCTAAACAGTTCACCAACTATAATATAGAGAACTTTCAGACAGTGACACCCATCTCACAGGTACTTCCTCAAAGGCCAAGGGACTGCTGGCTTAATGACATGAGCATGTTCTGAGCCTGCCCTATTTCTCTTTCACCCCAAGTAAGTGAAGCCAAGACTGGGTCCTCTGACTTTCCAACAAGAGAAACTGCCTCATCCACTTAGAAAGAGGCAAGGGTTTTTACTCCAGAGTCCTTTCTCAGGATTTCCTGAGATCCTGGCTTCAGAAGCAATATAAAACCATTCTCCAAAGTGGGATGAAGGGCTTGAGGTCAAAGTAGCAGCAGCAAATGCTAAAGATCTTCCTTCACTAGGTTGGGGTCTCTTGCTCTCTCTCCCTCACTCTAAATGGGGCCTTCCTTCAGCTGGAATCTTTCCCAGCCTGCTCACCCAAGTGAGTTTTCTGGTGGCGGATGAGATTCGAGCTCCGGGAGAAGTGTTTCCCACATGCAGTGCATCGGTAGGGCTTCTCCCCTCTGTGGGTCCTCTGGTGTGCTCCAAAGTTGGAGATATCGCTGAAGGTCCGCCCACACTCAGCGCACTCATAAGGTCTCTCACCTGTGTGGGTGCGGTGATGCACACCAAAGCTGGAGCTGTTGCTGAAGCTCTTCCCACACTCACAGCAGATGTAGGGTGCTGGCTCCAGGTGGGTCCGGTGATGCACAGCTAGCGTGGCACTCTGGCTGAAGCTCTTGCCACAGATGTCACAGCGGTATGGCCGTTTGCCTAGGTGATCTTGCTGGTGTGTAGTAAGGTCTGAGCGCCGCCGAAAGCTCTCCTGACACTTGGGGCATTTGTAGTGTTTCTCTTCCAGGTGGATCCGCTCATGACGGATGCGGTTGGAGCTTCTTGAGAAGCTCTTGCCACATTCAGAACACTTGTAAGGCTTCTCACCAGTATGGATCCGCTGGTGTGTTCTCAGGTTGGAGGTATTATTGAAGGTTTTGCCACACTGGGCACATACAAAGGGCTTCTCATCTGCCTCATGATGAACAAGGGTGTCCCCTGGCTCTCGAGCCGGAACAGTGACTTTCTGCCATGGCTTTTTTGGATGAGTTTCTTGCAGTTCATCCAATAGGCTCTCTTGTCCATGTACTTTCTCCCCAGGTGGGATCCAAGAACCCTCTGAGTCATCCACTCTCCAAAACTTACCCCCTTCCCCTTCCTCAGGCAGGTGTGGTTCTGGACTCTGCTCCTTCTCACTGCCCATCTCTGAACCCTGAGAATGAACACAAATGGCCAACACCTTTATTCCTTGGGTTAGGCCAGACCACAAGAAATCATTTGTTCTATTTGAAGGGGTATACACCTTCCCCTGGGACCATCCATTAGAAATAACTTCAATCAACTGGAACACTTGAACAGAACACCTTTACTTGCTACCTTTCTTTTTTTTTTGAGACAGAGTCTCCTTCTGTCACCAGGCTGGAGTGCAGTGGCATGATCTCAGCTCACTTACTTGCTACCTTTTAAGTGACAAACTTTCATAGATATTTAAAGCTAGCCAGCAGAGAAAAAAGAAGGCACCATCTTTGTCCACCACTGCCAGATGATATTTGTGCCATTTGAATAATGTTACTCTTCTTGATACCACTAAGCAATGACAATCCAGACTATAATTTGTGGGTAAGTAAAGGAGCTTTCATTTTGGGGTAAGTAAAGGAGCTTTCATTTTGGGGTAAGTTCAATTTTTCTGCCTAACTGTAAGTTAACTGTAACTCTTTATATGTTCTATTATTTTTGAAAAACCTTTCTTACAAGTATCCATTTATTTGCCTGCTTTCAAAATGAACAAAACAAAACCTCTAAATCTTGAGGCTTTCCTAGGTGACAAGGCCCAGCTTTGGCTTTTCTTGAGACTTCTGCCACCCTACCCCTCTCTAGACCACACCAGAATCTACCAAGTAAATATCTGGGTTAACACCTGAGACCTCCAGGACCTATGGCGGGGTCTGGGTTGTGGGGTTTGGGTTGTGTTTCTTCTGATAAGTCAGTGCCCTCCACCACATTCTTAAACACCACACAAAGCCCCCACTGCATGCACACATGCACACACACATACACACACACACACACACACAAGCAAGCAGAATCACACATATACACTCACACAATACACAAAGCCACAGTCTCACAGGACACACAGTCATATTCACATACCACACTCAGTCACATTCTCATACCACACAAACAGCCACACACCTACACACTACACACAGCCATACATTATCACACCACACACATACACACTACATAGACACTCACACCATATAGCCACATACACACAGCCACACACATATTTATAGCCACATACATGTCTACACACTTTTATCCATACTCTCATACCACACACAAGCACACACTCACATACCAAGTATACACAAAGATAAACACAGGCACAGATACACAAACCACATTCCCTACACCCCACCCCAAAACTAAACACATAAGAGTGCCCAGAACAGGTCCTGCTTTGTACAATCAGTAAATGTTTGCTAAGCTGCACAGACTCCTTTGGGTTCCTACAGCCAAGGACAGGGAAAGAGCTGGGGAAATATACCTCTCAAAAGAGTGGTAGTATTTCCTCTAGGCCCTGAAGAAATAATAACATTTCAGCAAAGTGGTCTGGTAAACAGAGAGACATGAACCAAGGGATGGGGGGAGTGCAGGAGGGAAGCACAAACTATCATAGGACACTGATGACAGAAAATGAGACTGATAATTCCTTCAAGTCTGCAAGTATTTCTGGAAAAAGAAACACCAAATAAAGGAAGGAATACTGACTACATTTAGGATTGGATTACAACTGTGACATATACTATCTTTATCATTCTCTGCAAATTATTTAATCACTCTGAGTCTAAACTCCCTCATCACTTGTGATAAATTATGAAATTGTGATACCTACCCACATTACAATACTTTGTATTAGAAGAAATGCCTACAGTACTAAGCAGAGTATGTGACACAAGCTGTCATCCAGCAAATGACAGCTGCTGTTAGAACTGTTGAAGACTCTACATCCTAACCCTATGAAGAATACAAGAAAAAGATCTTTTAAATGATCTTAAGAAAAAACTTTTAGTTTAAAAATAGCATAAAACTATATAATCTTCTAAAATGTGAAATACAGACAGAACCTCAACAGAAACAGAGGTTGACAAGCTTTTTCTGTAAAGAGCCAGATAATATATAGTAAATATTTATGGCCATGGGATATCTGCTGTAACTATTCAGCTCTGCCACTGTATCATAAATCCTGAAAGCAGCCATAAACAAGACATAAAGGAGTAAGTGTGGCTGTGTTCCAATAAAACTTTATTTAAAACAACAGGAGGTGAGCTGTAGTTTACCAATCACTGTTAGTCTTCCTTGAAGAATTTAGATAAGCAATATGAAAAATAATTAGCTTGTTTTACTTCCAAAAATGCAAGTAAACATCAGAAACTATTCCTTAATACTTAAACTCACTGTTTCCTGACCATCCTTTCAAAATTAAAATGACTCCCACACTCCCAGTCCCACTGCTCCATAGCACATCTTACCTTCTGACATTCTATTTATGTCTATTATTTATTGTCTGCTTCCCTAAAACACAAGTTCCATGAGAACTGGTATCTTTGTTTTCTTTTTTTTTTCTTTTTTGATTTACTAATGTAACCAAAACTCCTAGAGTAGTGGCAGCCATACACAGATCCTTAATAGGTATTTGTTGAATGAGTTGAATAAAAGACCAGCTCTGTCTTCAGAACCCAGTTCATGCTTACTTGTGTCTATTCTCACCCACTTTTCCTCAGCAATCTTCTGATTCCTGCCTACTTTCTCCTTTATGCACTCACAGAATCTTTTGCTTGCCTTATAGTGGTTTGCAATTACCTATTTATGTGTCTGTTTCTACTAGTAGTTTATAAGCAACTTGAAGAAAGGGACTGGGTCATATTAGGAGCACATATTTTGTGCTCCTTCTGCAGCACAAAGCTTCAAATGTTTTCTAAATGTATAAGTGACAGGATGTGATCTTAATTCACGCCACCATCCCATCCTGCACCCCAGCCCTGCTCCCATCTAACCTACAGCTACAGTATCTCTATGCAATGAGCTATTTGGCCTCCAGTCACTTCCAAAACTGCTATTCTGAGAACCTATAATAAATCAAGCTCCAGTTCTATCCAGGGATGGATGCTAGGTCAATGTAAGAGCAAAAAGATTTAGGATTATGATTACCAGTCACAGTTTGTGATACAATGTAGTGAAACAGATCATGAATTCCAGAAATTGTCACAAGATGTAGAAGGTTAAGTTCAGGGGACAGGGGCAGGAATTGTGCCTTAGTCACCTTTGTACCCACGCCTCAGTGTCTAACACAGCACCTAGCACATTATACAGAAATCAACGATAGTTAACATTTTTTAAAGCTCATATCAAGTGCTAAGCTGTGGACTAAGCACCATATATGTATCATCTAATTTCACTTCACCTCATCCTTATTTTAGAGATAAGAAAGCTGAGGCTCAGAGAAATTAAGTAACTTGCCCAAGGGCACACAGCAATTAAGTGGTAGAACTGGGGCCTATGTCCATCACTTCAAAGCTCAAAGCCAGTGCTTTTAACCATGACACTAGTACTGAAGGAAAAAAGGAGAGAAGATGGGAAAGAAGGAAATAAATAAAAACAGTGCCACTGAAGTTCACGTGACACAGGCATATCTCTCTGACGAGATCAGGGCTGACCAGTTTCATGGAAGAGTAAGTATTTGACCTAAGACTTGCAGGATGGGTAAGCCTGGGACTTGCAGAGCTAGAAAGCCAAACACCTACTGAGAAGACAGTGCAGCTGAGGTACAGAAGCACTTTCATAACGCATTGCAGAGATTTTAGGGGAAAAGGGGTCTGTTGGCTTTGTTTTCCTGGGGGCTCCGCTGCACTGGGAGAAGCAAGGGTGGAAGGGACTGAGAAGTGGAGAAGGGGCCAGGTCTAAGAAGTAAGAGCCAAGAAGATGGGGCTAGTGATCACAGACGATGAAGGTGAAGGGCCTAGGTTAAATGGAAGGGGCCAATCCAGAGTGCGGTGTGGAGCGCCAAAGTTACAGGTCTTTGGGGCCAAGTCAAGGGCTGCGGGGAGGAAGGAGAGAGAGGAGTTATGGAAGACCAAGGGCAAGGTGTTGACAAACAGTCATTGTACAGTGGAGCTAGATAACGGGTCAGAGATAGAGGAGGACCAAGGAAGTCAAAGGGTCGCAGGAGATGGTCAGGGAAAACGGAGCAAAGGCTGCCAGAAGTGTCATAGGGCCAGGGCCCAAGAGGCTGGGTTGTGTGTTGCTGGGCGGGGAGAAGCCAATGGCGGAGGCCCAAGGAGACAAGAGGTGGGTTCAGAGATTGCGGCGGGCTTGGGGCGGGAGGGGTGGGAGAGGAGGAGGGACTGACCCTAAACCGTGGCAGGAGGGCTGTATACTCAAAACCAACGGAAGGGCCGGGGAATGGGGTGGGGACAGCAACCTGGCTACCCGGGCCGGGGGCCAAGGGCCGAGGGTCGAGGAGGAGGGACCACAAGGCCCCTTGGCTTCACACTCGGTCCAGGGAGCAAAGCAGCAGCCTCCAACTCCTCGGTGAGAGGGAAGAGGCCTTATACAGAGTTTCCCGCGAAGTTGTGTCCGCCTCCCCCAACAGACCTGAGGCCCAACCCTGACCCACCTCGCTCCCGCCGCTCGGTCAGGGACAGCGCCGCCTCTGTAGGCGGGGGAAAGAGCCGGAGCCGGAGCCGGAACCCAGGAATGATCCGTCCTACTTCTCCAGGATTGGCTTTTTAGGATAATCCTTTATTTTTATTGGCTATAATAACTGTCACAAAGCAAGCGACCAGGCAAAACCGCCAATAAGCTTTGACCTCTTGCGTGGCTTGCTGGGAGTCGTAGTCCTAAGGAAGCGCATAGCCTGGGAGAAAACTGGGAAAGTTTAGAATGGAGCTAAAGAGACTGGGTTCCCTCCTAAGGTGGAATTTCCTTCTGTGCTCCTGCATTCAAACCCAACTCTCACGGCCACTGGTCTTGGAAGTTGTAGAATCTATACAGCTAACCTACACAACCTCCAGGGGTGTACATATTCAAAGTGCCTTTTTTTTTTTTAAGAGAATTATATCATTTATTGATTACATATGATAATGATACACAAGCCTCATTCCCATCTATACTTTTATTTGGTACTATTATTCAATTTAGATGTATTGCATAGCCAACAGTCTTTTTTTTTTTGAGACGGAGTTTCCCTGTTGTTAAGCAGACTGGAGTGCAATGGCACGATCTCGTCTCACCGCAACCTCCGCCTCCTGGGTTCAAGCAATTCTGCTGCCTCAGCCTCCCGAGTAGCTGGGACTACAGGCGCGCACCACCATGCCCAGCTAATTTTTGTATTTTTAGTAGAGGCGGTGTTTCACCATGTTGACCAGGATGGTCTCGATCTCTTCACCTCGTGATCCACCCGCCTCGGCCTCCCAAAATGCTGGGATTTATAGGCATGAGCCACCGCGCCGGCTGCCAACAATCATTTTTATAACCAATAATTCCATGATTTTGCTTGGGTAATCCCTTTTAATGATGAACTTCAGGTCACAACAGTAACTCTCAGTTCAACTACACCAAGGTTTCTGAAGACAATGGCTTCTCCACCCTAGAAGGTTGTATATAAATTCCAAATAGAACCTGGCATCACCCTGAAGGAATTCTAACTTCACACTGTCGGGGAAATTGACCAAGATGGCTTCAGAATAGACTAACTTTACACAGCACATTAAAAAAAAAAATTTATTCAGCATCACGATTACACTATTACATTTAGCAATCAACAGCATGGATGCAAAAAAAAAAATCTACATTAAAACCCTTTGTTGGAATGCTTTACACTTTCCACAGAGCAGAAACTAAAATAACCTGTTATATAATTAGTCACAAATACAGTCCTCGAGCTTTTTGCCCATACACGTATTTGTCTAAATCACGTCTTCTTTGCAGCAGCTAGGCCCTGCCACCACTGCGCTTGGCTGAGTTCACAAATCCGCAGTAACCTGTAGCTTCCCTGTTGCTTCTCTGGCTCTCCTCTCCTGCTAAGCTTTGTTTCCTAATTAAAATCTTCTGCCACTGCCATAGCTACTGCTGCTATGGAACCGCCATAGCCACCTCGGTTTTGTGGTTTGGTAAAGTATTGGCCGCCACCACCACAGGGTCCAGAGCTTCTGCTTCCAAAGTTTCCTCCCTTCATGGATCCAAAATTTGAAGACTGATTGTTGTAATTGCCAAAATCATTGTAGCTTCCACCACCTCCAAATGGCTTCCATCATTACCAAATCCATTATAGCCAACCCCACTGCCACCATATGCACCATCACCATGGCTGCCACCAAAGCCACCATGACCACTGAAGTTTCCTCCATGACCGAAGTTGTCATTCCCACCGAAACCACCTCCGTGACCACCACCAAAGTTTCCAGAACCACTTCTACCTCTTTGGCTGGATGAAGCACTAGCCATCTCTTGCTTTGACAGGGTTTTCCTAACTTCACAGTTGTGGCCATTCACAGTATGGTATTTCTGAATGACAGTCTTATCCACAGAGTCATGGTCATCAAAGGTTACAAAGGTAAAGCCCCTTTTCTTGCCACTGCCTCGGTCAGTCATGATTTCAATCACTTCAATTTTCCATACTGTTCAAAATAATCTCTTAGGTGATGTTCTTCAGTGTCTTCTTTAATGCCACCAACAAATTTTTTTTCACAGTTAAGTGGGCACCTGGTCTTTAATAATCTTCTCTTGAGACAGCTCTCTTTGGTTCCACAACTCTTCCATCCACTTTGTGTGGCCTTGCATTCATGGCTGCATCCACCTCCTCCACAGTGGCATACATGACGAACCCAAAGCCCCTGGAGCGCTTGGTGTTTGGATCTCTTCATTCCCACATAGTCCATGAGGGTTCTCCATTGCTCAAAATGGCTCCTCAGGCTCTCATCGGTTGTTTCAAAGCTCAACCCTCCAATGAAGAGCTTCCTCAGCTGTTCCGACTCTTTAGGAGACTCTGGCTTAGGCATGATCGCAGGGAGAAGAGAGAATTAATGATGTTTCTTCGGCAGCATCCACAGGCAGCATCCACTTCTTATTTCAAATCAATACTCTCCAACCTAAGAGGCCGTTTGATACACAAATAGTCAAGTATTCCAGTACAATGGTCTTGTGGGGAAAAATAGTTTCTAAGTTGGTGGTTAAAACTGCCACTTTTTCTAGCTGGGCCTCTCTGAATCTCAGGAAGGGCTGGCATGACAGATTGACTCATAAGACAGTCACAACAGACTGAGCCTCTGAAGGGCTGGGTCAAGGTCAGAGGGCAAACTGACAAACATATCTCCAAAGTGCCTTCTTTACTTTGAGTTGGTAACTCTTGACTGTCCTGTAGACATCCAATGAAGCCTAGAGTCTGGCACCTGACTTAAGGTTTATAACTTAAAATCAAAGGAGGGTAGAGCTGGAAGGGAGTTTAAAGATAAAATAACCCAATCTCCTTATTGGAGAAGTTAACACTACCCTGTCCAAAGAGCAACCTCCAGGTGTCCCAGCACCCTTGAGCAGGGATTTTCTCAGCTTCTGTGTGCATCCCTAGTTAAACCTGACAGTTGTTCATCAATCCAGAAGCAACAAGATCACCAAAGTATCCACGACTAGGTCATTTTTTTTCAGATTTTATTTTTAAAAAATGTTAAAAGGCTAATGGGATATGTAGACTAACTACAGGCTTCTCATATCTGCACATTGTTTCCATGCGAAGAACAAGGAGCATTGGCTTCAGAGCTAGATAAACCAAGAACAATTCTTGGCTCTACCACCGAGTCATTTGGAGTACCAACTTTCTCCCCCATAAAATTCCTGGCAGAATTACTGTAAGGATATTATATATACATATATACGTATGCATATATGTATATATAATATATGTACATACACACACGTATACATACACATCTATGTATGTATGTGTGTTGTATATAGTTGTAAGGTTGTATGTATGTATAATACGTACATATATTCAGGTTATTTCTTGACCTTAACATTCAAATCAGTAGACTGATACGTATATAAATATACATGTACAATGCACAAACATATATGTATATATATACACACATAATAACCTTATAACACTATATATAACATATCTACATAGATATGTATGTATACATGTATCTGTATATATACACATATATACATGTTATATACACATACAACTATTTATAATACATGTGTGTATATACACATACATGTATACATGCTTGCGTGTGTGCATACATGTGTATATATGTATATCATATGTGTGTGTGTGTGTGTGTGTATATTATGTATGTATTCTGCCTCCAAAAGCTAACGATGTGAGTTAGTTTTAAGATTGGGATATTCAGAAATGTATGTTTGGAACTGAATATGGGTAAATGAAATATGTATACCTGATGAACACTATTAGTTTATAAATTAATAAAATACTAGAGAGCAGACTCAGGAATAAAACTATGGCTTTATTATGAACGCATATAAAATGCGTTCAGGGACTCAAACCTTGTCTTCAGGGACTCAAAGCTCTTTGGAAACCAATCTCTTACCTTCCCCACAACTCCTCATTCACAATGAAAATAACAACATAGCAAACAACAAATACCAAACTTTTATTTTAAAACTGTACAGAAGCAAACAAAAATTTCCACTAGTCACTGTGACAGTTAATCTTATGTACCAATGTGACTGGGACACAAGATGCCCAGCTATTTGGTCAAACATTATTCTGGGTGTTCCTGTGAGGGTGTTTCTCAATGACATTAACATTCAAATCAGTAGACTGAGTAGTGCAGACTGTTCTCCCAAATGTGGGCCAAGGGTCATTGGATCAGATGAAGGCCTGAATAGAACAAAAGAGCTAACTCTGCCCTGACTAAGAGAATTCGTCCCTCCTGATAGCCTTTGGACAGGGTCATCAGCTTTTTCCCTGCCTTCAGACTTGAACTGAAACATGAGCTCTTCCTTGATGTCAAGCCTGCTGCCATCAGACTGGAACGAAACCATCAGCTCTCATGGTACTCCAGCTTGCTGACTTACCCTGCAGATCTTGGGGTTTAACAGCCTCCATAATCATGTAAGCCTATTTCTTATAATAACCACTGTCCTCCCTGCCCTTTCTGTTTATCTGGAAAACCTTGACTAATACAGGAATGAACAGAGAACTTCTGACAAACAGAAAGATACAGTTTCTGTTGCATAGAACTGTGTATTCATCTGCAAACTGATAACCAGTATCTCCACGATTAGGCCAGATCACATATGCAGTGTGACTTGAAAGTGACTAGGCTTCCGCAATACACGCCCAAAAATCAGGGTCATTATTTCATCCTCGCACCTAGTCTACCAACTTCTTATTTGAAATCAATACTCTCCAACCTAAGAGGCCGTTTGATACACAAATAGTCAAGTATTCCAGTACAATGGTCTTGTGGGGAAAAATAGTTTCTAAGTTGGTGGTTAAAACTGCCACTTTTTCTATCTGGGCCTCTCTGAATCTCAGGAAGGGCTGGCACGACAGATTGACTCATAAGACAGTCACAACAGACTGAGCCTCTGAAGGGCTGGGCCAAGGTCAGAGGGCAATACACGGCTGAGCTCTCTGCAGCTGTGCTTCCCAGCTCCCTGATGTGCTTCTGAGGCTCTTCGGGGTTATAGCAACTGTGTTTAAAATCCCTGTACCTAGTTATCATCAACAGGCAGATTCGTTTTTGAAAGCATGTACATCAGCTCTGGGTATCACCAAACTACATTGTAAACAGCATCAAGAAAATAGAAAAGGATGGTATGTTTTACTCCTCAGCTTCCCCCAACTCATTCCTGAAGAAAGAGGGAAAGAGTGAATGGTCTAAAACATGCTTACTTATAGAAAGCTGACTTTGGGGGCCAGAGGTCAGAACTGAGACAGAGAAGGAGAGAAAAGCAGTCCTTGATGGGATAAGGAAGCAGTCAGGGACTGGGAGCCATAACTTCTTGACTAAAGCTTGAAGGCAGGATGAGGCAGAGAAAATGTCTTCTAAATAACCCCTGGAGTAGAAGACTCTTTCCCCTGAACCTGTGCTGTATCTTGGTAACACATATTCAACATCTCCACCTACACCTAAACTGATTGTTTCATTTCCAGGAATCCTCCCTCCACATCACTGGGAACTTCAGTTCCTTAGAAGAAAGGCAAGCTTCAGAACTGAGTCCTGGGAGAAAAGTGATACAAATAGAAATCACAAAAGGATCTGGATTTGGTTAGGGAGAAGAGACATTCCAGAATTATAGGGTTGGGCCAGGAGTATGAAGTCCAGGGTGCTGGGCTGGATGGTGATGGGAGCAGGTAATATGACATATCCCTAAAAAGAAGGAACCTTGAGCCCCTGAAGGGCTGGGCCGAGGTCAGAGGGCAAGGACAGGATAATATCCTTCAGCTCTGGAGCCTTACGGGGTAGTAAGGAAGAGTTAACCTTCAGGGACATATCTCCATTAGCATAGCCTTTCCCTTCTGGCTTGGTGACAATTCGTTCCTCTGATTTGTGTAGTTCTGAACAAATGACTAGAGGTGCTGTGTTTTTTCCTCCATCGTGAAGGCAAGGTTCAAAGAAGGGGCGAAGGGGGCCAGAGAAACTGTGGGTGAAAGTAAAGATGTGAGACTTGTCGGTCACATTGTAGAAAGAGATGACCCCTGCATCATAGTCCAGGAAAATCCCCACACACCGTGGAGGCTCTTTAAGGCGGAAGGAGGTCTGTGGGGATGTGAGAGCTTCATACTCATTCCCACGACTCTGTCGCAGAAGCCAGTGTCCATTGGCAGGTGAGGCAGTAACCTTCCCCTTCCTGCTCACTGACTCACTACACACCCCCAGAATCCATTTGGTCTTGTCTCCCACATACACCTCCCAGTAGTGGCAGCCAGACGTGAAGTACTCAGAGCCCAGGATGCTGACAACAAAATCAAACCTCTGGGGGTTGTCAGGTACAGACTGCCTTCTGTCTCCAAGCCTCACACATCTTTGGTCCTCAGAAAGGATGAGTTTGGGATGTGCTGTGTCTGGGTCCAGGGTCACTGCCACTGCAAAGAGTCACAGACAGGTGAGGTTTGGAAGGCTAGGTCTTAAGAGATTTGGGGATAGCTTTGCAGGGAAAAAGAATCTTTGGGTCTACAATCACTGTCGTTAGCCCATTTTAGTTCATGGATTCCCACCCCCACCACGTGTACTGGAACCAAAGAATATTGTCTTTCAAAGACTAGGTCTCCTGGTTGAGTACTAAGTAAAAGAGGAAAAAGTTCTTCTTCATCTGTCTGTGAAGCTGCCTTAATCCTTCAGAAGTAATTACCTCCTGTGATTTCAGTGTGTCCGTCTAAAGTTCATGTGTTGGAACCTTAATCCCTCATTGCCGCAGTGTTCAGAGTTAGGGCCTAGTCGGAGGTGTTTGGGTCATGGGAACTCTACCCTCACAAAGGGATTAATGCAGTTTTCACCAGACTGGGTTAGTTCTCTGAAGAGTGGGTTGTGATAAGGCAGGTCAGGGCACTTTGTCTCCTCTCTGCTTTCACAGGCACTCACTTGCCCTTTTGTTTTTCCAGAAGCAACTATGGCCATGCTATGAAGTGGCACAAGGCCTTCACCAGATACAGTCGCCCCATCTTAGACCATCCAGCCCCCAGAACCATGAGCTAAATAAACCTCTTTCCTTGATAAATTACCCAGTCTTGGGTATTCTGTTATAGCAACAGAAAACAGACTAAGACACTACCTTTGTCTTTGATGCTCCAAAAGAATCAAATGTGTGATGATAAATACAGGGTTTGATGTTAGATCCTGAGGCTACATAGTATGTTTGAACCCCAGCTCTGCCGCCTGCTAGTTATGTGACCTTGGGCTTGTTATTTACCTCTGAACCTTAGTTTCTTCATCTGTAAAATTGAAATAGTAGCAGAACTTTTGTTGTAGAGCTATTGTGCAGACTTAATGAACTAATGTGTCATTCCTACAGTGAGTGCATGATGTTCATTTTATCACCTAAAATTACTACTTATAATTATCTATTTGCTTTATTTTATTTGAGACAGGGTCTCACTATGTTGCATGGAGTACAGTAGTTATTCATTGGCATGCAATCCTAACACAGCCTTGGCTTCCTGGCCTCAGGTGAACCTCCCACTGCAGCCTCCCAAGTCGCTGGGACTAAATTATTATTTTTAAATGTTAATATAGAGAGAAGGATTCTTTCTTAAAATTGTGGATTATGAGTGTCACAGTGAGTCTCCTTCCTCCCCCAAATATAGGAAACAGGATCTTCTTGGAGAGCTAGTCCATAAACCATACTCGGTGGAGGTGGTGGCAGTAAGCCAGACTGAATGTGAGATGGAAGGGTTTGTGAGTTCCCAGAACGCCAGCCAAGGTGACCTGGAGTTCCCTCGAGTGGCCACTTCATCGATTTGTTTTACTTTCCCTGAAGGAAGATGGTGTGAACAGGTGGAGGATAAAAGCCTAGAAAATCAATAAGGATCCCAAAGCAGTGAAAAAAGCAGATCCCATTTGAAAAGCAGCAAAAAAATGAAAACTATTTAGAAATAAACTGAAAGAGAGGTACAAATCTTTTAGAATAAAACTATGAAAACTTTTCGTAGTATATATCATTGGGGCATCTGCTCAACGCATTCCCTTCTTCTCTGAGAATCTCAATCACCACCCCTAAGCAAATCGGTCTGCAGAGAAAGAAGAAAACAGCATATGTGTGGAAAGAGGCAGAAGCAGTGGCTATTTATCTGGCTGCGGGATAGGAAGGACTTCCCAAACCTGAAAGCATGGAAGAGACTACACAAGAAAAGATGAATGAAGTTGACTACATAAAAATAAAACACTTGTGCATCAGAAAAATTCTACAAGGACACGCAAATGAAAACTAATTGGTGACAAATATGACAAAGAGCTAATATACCTTATCTAGAAAGAGTCCTCACAAATCAAAAAACAGCCCAAATAGAACAGGAACAGACAAATCACACAAAAAAGAAATACAAATAACCGACAAACTTAAGAAAAATCTCAAAAATCACAGAAAACACTTAAGAAGACCAAACCTAGGCTGGGCGCGGTGGCTCAAGCCTGTAATCCCAGCACTTTGGGAGGCCGAGGCGGGTGGATCACGAGGTCAAGAGATCGAGACCCTCTTGGTCAACATGATGAAACCCCGTCTCTACTAAAAATACAAAAAATTAGCTGGGCATGGTGGTGCGTGCCTGTAATCCCAGCTACTCAGGAGGCTGAGGCAGGAGAATTGCCTGAACCCAGGAGGCGGAGGTTGCGGTGAGCCGAGATGGCGCCATTGCACTCCAGCCTGGGTGAAAAGAGCGAAACTCCGTCTCAAAAAAAAAAAAAAAAAAGAAGACCAAACCTAATATTTATCAGTGCTCTAAAAGAGGGGATACTTTCTAAACCTTAATATGACCTCAAGATAGATCACAAAGATTTTCTTCAATTTGATAAGCAGATATACAGATTTGACTTAAAAATTTTTTAATCACATACATTCCAGAGGAATGGGAAAAAATCTAAGGTTACAAAGCCATAAGGAGGATGTGCTCTGAAATGGAGATCTATTTGATTGGTATAACTTACCAAAATGCAGCCGGGCTCTTCTCCAGCCTGAAAAACAAGAAAGAGGGATCATTAAAGCACTAGAGATGACCAGGCACAGTGGCTCATGCCTATAATCCCAGCACTTTGGGAGGTTGAGGTGGGGGAGATCACTTGAGGTCGGGAGTTCAAAACCAGCCTGACCAACATGGAGAAACCCCATCTCTACTAAAAATACAAAATTAGCTGGGTATGGTGGCACATACCTGTAATCCCAGCTGCTTGGGAGGCTGAGGCAGGAGAACTGCTTGAACCCAGGAGGTGGAGGTTGCAGTGAGCCGAGATCATGCCATTGCACTCCAGCCTGGGTAACAAGAGCGAAACTCCATTTCAAAAAAAAAAAAAAAAAGCAGCACTGAGAACTCCCTAGGGTGGTAGTCAAACGTGGAGAAAGTTCATCTCACCTGAGTTTGCTGCAGCTCTTTTCAGCTCTATGAAAGAAGAAACAAGGGGGATGAAACATCACTGGAAACATTAGGGCAACAGGAGATAACTTGGTACAGAAGTTGTAAGAACATGGGAAACTTACTCAGTTCACTCCGGAGTTTCTCTAAAGAATCAAAACAATTTGGCAAATCAGAAGGAGGGTCTCTACATAGAGGCCTCCTCCCATAATGCTACAGTCCCATCCCAACCATGAGCAGATAGATACTCAATAGCCATACCCTGGAACTTCCCCAGAAGAGTTTGCAAGAGCAATTGATCTCAGCTGTGCACCGTGGGAGTATCCCCAGAAGATACTGCAGAGGATCAGCAAATTCCTATGTGAGCTAAACCTTATCTGCAAGCTAAATAATAACACATCTCACACCTACAGGTAACGACAACGTAAATTCTGTAGATGTTGTGGGAGAAGAATAAAATATTACTTCATTTAAAACTATTACTGAGTATTGAACTTTGTGATCATGTACATTTTCTCAGTGTAATAATAATACATAGATATGTCACCTGTCTGTAGATTTATTTTTATTTTTATTTTGAGACAGAGTTTCGCTCTTGTTGCCCAGGCTGGAGTGCAATGGTGCAATCTTGGCTTACTGCGACCTCCACCTCCCAGGTTCAAGCAATTCTCCTGCCTCAGCCTCCCAAGTAGCTGGGATGACAGGCGTGGAGTACCACATCCGGCTAACTTTGTATTTTTGATGAGGTTTCACCATATTGGTCACAGTCAGGCTGGTGTCAAACTCCTGACTTCAAGTGATCGACCCACCTGAGCCTCCCAAAATGCTAGGATTACAGGTGTGAGCCACTGTGCCAGGCCAAATTTTTTTTTTAATGTTAAAAAGAGGTCCTCACACATGAAATGATGGAAAAGAAACTGCTCCAGTATATTCAGTTTAATGAGGATCCCTTCCTCTTGGACCCCATCTAAGGAAATGTCATGCCTGGTTGATAAGAGGAACTTCCAGATGGCTTCACCTATGGGAGGTACATCTCTTCTTGGCAAACATTTTGCATTTAAAGACCAAATAACAGTTGTGCAGAAAAGAGGGGCAGAGAATACATGAGGAAAGAGGACTCTGAGAGCCAAGAAAGCCCCAGTCCCCATGGCTTGAATTACGCTTTCCCCCTCCCTTCCGCCCCAGGAAGTGAAACTGAGATGCTCATTTTAAAGCAAAGGTGTCAGCAGAAGGAGTTTGTGCCATGGATGAGGAGCAGAACTTACTGAGAGCTTTATGGAGTTTTCCTAAAAACCAGAAAGAGAGAGAGGAGTGAGTGATCAGATCCTGCCTCTTTTTCCTTGCAGCTGTGGAAGCCTCATCACACTACCCCCCAAGATTAAAATGATGGTGATGCTTCTATGTCACTAGTCCAGCTCCATGTCCCAGAGGTCAGACCCAGAAATCTGATGGTGCTGATGCCACTCTCTCAGTGACCCAGCCTCCCCAGGACTATGGTTCCTTCTTCCCTTCCCCTCCTTTTCATCTGTCTGGTTTCATTTCTGCTGTCTGCATGAGTGTTTCTATATGTTTATAACTGCAGTATGTGAGTGTATGCTATATGTTTATAACTGCAGTATATGAGTGTATGCATTGCTGTCCTTTTATAGCCCATTGTTGATGATATCTAAGGTGTAAAACTAGCTGAAGGCCTAGCATGAACTTGTTAATGTGACTGTAACTCCCCTGAGGTCACAAATTTTATAAATTGGAGGTCCCAGAAGATTTGGGTAAATATGTGATAAGACATAGGTTGCCAGAGAGAACTTGCAGCTTCTCTGGAGGGCCATGTGGCCCACATTTCCTCCTAACCAGCATTGGCCCTGCTGAACAATTGAAGTTCCAAGTCTGAGTCCACTACCAGGCCCTGTGTGTGCCAAGGGCCAGGCATGTGTTAGGCATTAGACATTGGAGCAATGCAGCTGAATACAACTCAGCTCCTAAGGCGTTTATGGTCTATTTTTACCATCTCCACTACTAACAGCTTCCACTTACTGACTTTTGTGCTGATACTGCAGTAGGCACTGAATCCTCTCAATAATGTGAGGTGCCTAGAATTGCTATTGCCATTTTATAGGGTGCTGGTCTGAGGCTCACAGGGACACAAAATTTGCCCAAGGTCTTCCAGCTAGTAAGTGACCAAGGAGGTAGGATTCAATCCAAGTCTGTCTGACTCCTGAGTCGGAGGCCCTCACCCTTACCCCACACTGTTCCCTCCCACCTTGAGCAGAACAGCCATTGTCTGCCAGATACACCCCACACTTGTACCACTTGGAGGAGATGTAAGGAGGGAGGAGAGGAGATGCTGAAATCATTCACTCTGGAGTCATCTGAGCCAGTGACGTGTCTTCCCAGATAGACTTCAACAAGGTATCTTTCAATTTATGTTCAATTAATTGAATAATTAATTCAAAAATATTCAGTTAATGAAGACAAAATGGCAATAAGGCAAAGGAGTTCCAGGCACTGTGACAGATGTTTTTTTAAGGTTGCCTGTTCTAACACTGAAAACCATCAGGTAAGGGGAAACTTACCCGAAATTTGCTGATGAGGAAACCAAAGCCCAGAGCAGTAAAGTGACTTCTTCAAGGCCAGCAAGTGGCAGACCAATGATCTGATTCAGAGCCTGCAACCCTTCCTTTGTATCACACCACCTCTCTCTATGCAAAGGTTGTATGAATTCTTGAAATTCCTATACATCCCATATGACCACATTAATATACTTCTCAATACTATGTAGACTTCTTTTTTAAATGATTGGCAGAAAGGCTAATGAAGGGCATTTATGGTAATCTAGGCCTATGAATTATGACCTGGACACCTCCTCACCCACTGCCACCAGCTCCATAGCCCCTTGACATTGCAAACTAAATTCCAGTAATATCAAAGGAGGATATATGTGTGCATGTGTGTGTATAATATTATAATAACAGACATAATAATGACTGCCAACATTTACATAGAAAAATGAAGAATGTGTTTTTTATTCTCTACCCCTTTTTATATATCATTACCTTTTTCTTTAGCATGGTCTGAAAGAAGATTGTCTAGAGGAAGAAAGGAAAAGATAATGAGATTTTTTTTTTGCCACTGCCTTGAGGGCCCCCAATTCCTATTGATTTTACCTGCCCTTGGACCCGTCCACCTCTATCTTCACCTCCACCTGCCTGAGTTGGTCCCTAGTCAACTCGCATCTGGACAACAGAAACGACAGCCCAAATTGTCTCCCACATCCTGTTTTACTCCCTCTGGTTTCTACTAAACACTGCAGCCAGAGAGAATTGTTTAGTTTTGGTTTCTTTTTTTTTTTTTTCTTTTTTGAAACAGAATCTTGTTCTGCCATCCAGGCTGGAATGCAGTAGTGCAATCTCGCCTCACTGCAACCTCCACCTCAAGGGTTCAAACGATTCTCCTGTCTCAGTCTCCTGAGTAGCTGGGGTTACAGGCCTCCACCATCATGCTTTGCTAATTTTTGTATTTTTAGCAGAGATGTGGTTTCACCATGTTAGTCAGGCTGGTCTTGAACTCCCGACCTCAGGTGATCCACCTGCTTCGGCCTCCCAAAGTGCTGGGATTACAGGTGTGAGCCACTGTGCCTGGCCAAGTTTTTCAAAGCACAGTTCCATCTGATATTCCCATTCTTTGTTTTACCACTGATCTTACAAGAATGACTAAAATCCTGAATGTGACCCACCAGGCCTCAAGAAGCCCAGTCCCTCCTAACTCCCCAGCCTTACCTCTGCCACTATTCCCCGCGCTCCTGCACCTCTTGAGCAACCCAGTGAGTGCCACTCTCCCCGACCATGCTTCTCTCTGAAGCTTTCTTTCTGCAGTGGATGGTTTCCATTCCCTCTTCACTCGTGACTTCTAGTCCTTCAGGACAAACTTCACACCCTCAACCCTCAAGCTTGGTTGGTTCATCCTGGTCATAGCCTTCACAGAACCAGGAGCTTTCCTGTGTAGCATTTGTGCACATTTATTTGTGTAACTATTTAATTCGTCTCATCTCCCTGTCTACACTGAAAGTTCCAGGAGGGCAAAGACTATGTCTGCTTTTACTCACTATTGCATCCCAGAATCTAGTATTGTCCAGAGCATTTAGTAGATAATTATCAACTATTTGTTGAATGGATAAAAGCTTCCCCCATGTTCAACCTACTCAACTGCCACGGAATAAGATCAAACAATGAGCTCACAGGCAAAAATCATTACACATACAGGAAGGCAAGCTATTTTAAGTAAGAGGCAGTAAAAACTGGAAGCAATGGATTTAGACATTGCCACCACCACCAAGGATGGCAGATAATGGAATGTTCAGGAACAGAATCCAGGTTAGTAGGTAGGGGGCACAGAAATTAACAACAAAAGAAACATGTCCCCTACCCCCCAGCCAAGAACACTTACCCACCTCCGTCACATGCTCATAGAGAAGCTTCTCTAAAAGAGAGAGAAAAATGTCAGCTTAGCTTAGGAAGGGCTTTTTCTCTAACAGGCACAATTGTCCCAAGATGGTCCAGGTTGCCTGAGTAGGACTGACTCTTGTTACTATAGGTAAGTGGACATTTGAAAGGATTAGAGAGTCTTCAAACCGTCAGATAAGGGGAGGAATGTTGGATTATGTGGCTGTGACTTTCAAAGTCCTTTGCAGTCCTGAGATCCTGTGAAATGTGACCATTTTTATGAGAGTCTTATCCGATAGATATAACTAAATTTCTTTATTAAAAGGCTGTAATTAATTTCTTAGTTAATTAGAAGGCTGGCATAGTTGGTTCTTTTCTAATTTTTCAAAGGATGAGAATTTACAGCTCTGCCCAGGGGCCTCTCTGCAGCTTATTGAGTTGCCTTTGCAATGTGTGTCCTCAGGGCACCGCTCTACTGGTTTTCTCCCTGCCAATGTGCAGGGTCCCCAACCTAAGGACAGGCGTCATGTCTACCTCTACTTCTGCCTGGCCCTTTCCCAGAGCAGTCATAGTCCACTTCCCGCCAGCCTGGGCTCCCTTACACATAATTACCTTTTGCTCTTCTTTGCTTCCAGATAAGGCAAAGGCACACCAGAATGAGAAGTACCAGGACAGGCAGGATCACAGCCAGAGCCACTGCTGAGGGGGAGACGCTCCCCGCAGATGGGGCTGAAACAGAAACCACCACCAACTACCTTCAGGGAGATGGCCAAGAGCTTCTGGCATGCCTCAGATGGCAGGTGGCTCAGGCACACCCCAACTGTCTCCATTGCCTCTACGGAGAGACCTCTGGCCAAGAGGCTCTTTGCTTATCTTGGTAACTCAAGCCCTGGATGGCATTAAAGATAACTAAGGCTGGGAATGGTGACTCCTGCCTGTAATCCCAGTGCTTTGGTAGGTGGAGGCGGCAGGGGTTCAGGAGTTCAAGACCAGCTTGAGGTCAGGAGTTTAAGACCAGCCTGGCCAACATGGGGAAACCACGTGTCTGCTAAAAATACAAAAATTAGCCAGGTGTGGTGGCAGGCACCTGTAATCCCAGCTACTCCTGAGGCTGAGGCAGGAGAATCACATGAACCCGGGAGGCGGAGGTTGCAGTGAGCTGAGGTTGCGCCATTGTACTCCAGCCTGGGTGATAAGAGTGAAACTCTGTCTCAAAAAAAAAAACCTGAGATGTTCCTCTCTCAGGAATGGTTTAGATGGTCCTGCCTCAAGATGATGGCTTAAACAAATTTCTGGACCACAATCTCATCCTGCCCTATAACTCAATGGAAAAATAAGGCAGGGACTTCAGAGATATGAAGGCACTCTCCTCACTAAGCACCTCCAGTCTTCCCAGGAGCACCTGCCTGCTTACCCCTGTCAATCCCCACTGTGCTCTAGAAGAGTAAACAGCAACCTTTTTGCTCTGAGCACTGTCCACCCGGGCAAAGCAATTTCTATGGTGCTACAGCAGCAGGCCTGAAGCCTAGGCAGGAGAGAAAGGGGAAAACAAAGAGGAAATAGATGAGAAGAAACAAGTAAAAGGGGGATATAACTAGAGGTGGTTAAGAGCCTAAGCCAGGGGTGTGTCCTTGCTCAATGCTGTGTGACCTGAAGCAGGAGACTGAGCCCATTTAAGCCCAGTTTCTCTCATCTGTAAAATGTGTGCATGGCAGGACTCCTTATTTCCTTGAGGTTTGGAGAGATTTAAACAGGTCAGTCATATAAAGCACTCAGCCTCCTGAGTAGCTAGGATTACAGGTGCGCACCACCATGCCTGGCTAATTTTTGTATTTTTTTGGTAGACAGGGTTTCGCCATGTTGGCCGGACTGGTCTTCAATTCATTTCAAGGATCTTCAAAAGGTTTAGGCCAGGTGTAGTGGCTCACACCTGTAATCCTAGCACTTTGGGAGGCTGAAGCGGGAGGATCACTACAGCTCAGGAGTTTGAGACCAGCCCAGACAACATAGTGAGACCTCATCTATATTATAAATAAAAAAGAAAAAATAAGTAAAAGGTTCAAACCCTTTGACCCATTAATTCTACTTACAGACGCACGGAAGTAGATTTTTTTTTCTAAAAAGAAAAAAATCAGAATCACTTTTCAAAATATGTTCAAAGATGTTCACTGCACCCTTCATTATAATATAAGAAAAATTGGAAAGCATCCAGATGCCCAGAAACAGGGCTTTGATTAATTTTATTATTCTATAGCCACATGGTGAAATACTATGCAGCCCTTAAAATCATATTACTTAGGGACATGGGCAAAAAAAAAAAAAAAGTGCTCATGACATCCTAAGTGGAAAAAAATCCCGGGCACAAGAATACACGTATGTAACCATATACATGCTCAGAGATCCATATATACAAAAAAGTCTTGCAAGAAAGATACAAAACTGTTAGCAGCAGTTCTCTCCAATTTAAGCTACTATAGGCCATTTTTCAGTTTCCTTTAAATATTTTAGATTTTTTTCAAATTTTATATAATATACATGCTTTACCCTTAGAATTTAAAAAAATTGAAAATTCCTCTTAAAGTTCCTACTAGGGTAGGAGTTTCCTCTGGAAGCACCAGCGGCTTCAAACCTGCTTCCACCCCAGCTTTTACCTGCTGTGACCACGGCTGTGATCTTCTCTTGGCCAAGGGCCATGTTGTGGACAGTTCAGGACACATTCCCCAGTGTGCTGTCCCTGACTCTGCTAGACACTGCTGTTTGGAAGAGCCCAGCTTTTTTCAGAGAGTGGGCCTCTGACAGGGGTGGAAGTACCCTGCCTTGAGGTTCTCTCCACTTGGCCCAGGGCTCTGGGAACCATCCCACCAATCTGCACACCAGCAGGGCCTCTGCTAGGGTGTGGTCCAGCCAGAGCCCTCTTTCCCCATGGCCTCCTGTGATGAACAGAGGCAGCTGTTAATGGAACTTGAATGTCTGCAATCTCTCTACCCTCTCCCCACACTCCTCCCAATGGGATAAGCCAGTCTCTAGCTTTATTCTCAGACATTTAAAAATTTACCCATAGCAATAACTGTATCACATGATTCAGATTCCTTTGGGCACCTTGGTCCCCTTTTTTTTTTTTTTTTTTGAGACGGAGTTTCGCTCTTGTTACCCAGGCTGGAGTGCAATGGCGCAATCTTGGCTCACCGCAACCTCCGCCTCCTGGGTTCAGGCAATTCTCCTGCCTCAGCCTCCCGAGCAGCTGGGATTACAGGCACGCACCACCGTGCCCAGCTAATTTTTTGTAATTTTAGTAGAGACGGGGTTTCACCATGTTGACCAAGATGGTCTCGATCTGTTGACCTCGTGATCCACCCGCCTCGGCCTCCCAAGTGCTGGGATTACAGGCTTGAGCCACCACGCCCGGCCGGTCCCCTTTTAAAAATTACTTTTCAGCTGGGTGTGGTGGCTCACACCTGCAATCCCAGCACTTTGGGAGGCCGAGGTGAGCAGATCATCTGAGGTCAGGAGTTCAAGACCAGCCTGGCCAATGTGGGGAAACTCTGTCTCTACTAAAGAATACAAAAATTAGTTGGGTGTGGTGGTGGGCGCCTGTAATCCCAGCTAACTCAGGAGGCTGAGGCAGAAGAATCACTTGAACCCAGGAGGTGGAAGTTGCAGTGAGCTGAGATTGCACCATTGCATTCTAGCCTGGGCGACAGGCTGGAATGAGTGAAACTCTGTCTCAAAAAAAAAAAAAAATTATTTTTCACCCCAAAGGACTCCGTATTTGGAAAGTCTGTCTTTCATGTTGCATACCATGAAGTGAGGATGAATCAGTTACTTCAAAACTAGTACGTGTTTTGAATTCAAAACTAGTATGTGTTTTGAAGTAATTGATTCATCCTCACTTCATGGTATGCAATTCTAAGTTATGACCAAAAGATAATCAGCATGTGACCATGTGAAGCCAGTGTCATTCAAGCAAATGCAAAGACATGGTTTGGGTTGGGTTGATTTGGGTTTGGTTTGATAGACTGATTTTTTAAAATATTGGTAGACTGATTTTTTTGGACTGATTTTGGGTAGACTAATTTTTTTTAAATATTTAAGTTAGTTTGAGAACACTCTCAACTGGGTGCAGTGGTTCACACCTGTAATGCCAACACTTTGGGAGGCCAAGCGGGGAGGATTGCTGGGTTGGAAACCAGTCTGGGTAACATAGGGAGACCCCATCTCTGCTAAAAGTAAAAAAACATTAGGCAGGCATGGCAGTGAGGTCGCAGGATTACTTGAGCCCAGGTGGTTGAGGCTACAGTGACCTATGATTGTACCACTGCACTCCAGCCTGGGCAACAGAGTAAGGCCTTGTCTCAAAAAAAAAAAAGGGAGAGAGAGAGTAACACTATCTCTATCTTCTTGACCCTTTATGTATTCTGAAATCCCAGGAGAGGTCCCATTAAGTAAATCCTGTTACAGCAGGGGATCTGTCCCTTGAAGCCATCATAATGAGTTCCTTGATAATGGAGCATAGAAAGATGACCCAGGGAGGAAAAGCAACTATCTGAGCCTCCAAGCCCTATTTAACCAGGACCTGCATTGTACCGTGTTTTCCAAAGTCTGGGTTCCTTCCTTATTAGAAATGCCTGGGCCAGCTTCATAGCCTCGGCTGAGATTGATGGACGTGTCTGGGTAAGGCTGAGCGGTCCTGGCAAGTAAAAACTACATTGCAGATGAAAGAAAAGCCTAGACATGGAGGTCCTGATTGAGCTTGTCCAATCGCCACAGATGACCCTGGGCACCTCAAACCCATCCTAACCTGCAACCTGCAGGATCACGGTGTCCTCTTTACTCAGATTTCCAACCTGGATCAGACATCGGTAAGACCCTCCGTCCTCCAGGCGCACGTCGAGAATCTGCAGAGTGACACTTCCCTCTTGGGCGTCTCTCACCAGCGCCGTCCTCCCCATATATTCCGGCATCGAATCTTCATCCCGGTCCTTCCCATCCCGGAACACGTGCACAACCTGGGAGCGCTGCGGGTACGGGGACCGCAACCACCTCACCTCCGTGGGCACCATCCCGGGCCAGAGGGAGAGAGGGCAGAGCAGCTCGGCTCTGCCCCCTAGCGGGGCCACGTGGAACTTGCCGGCATCCCCTGCGAGGCCTGGACAAAAAAAAAGAGACAAGGCTGACTGGGAGGGAGCGCAGGAGAAAGCTTGGAAAGGGACGAGGAAGGGGATATCCCAGGGACAAACAGAGCTCGGGAAGGGCTCTAGAAAGGATTGCGGGGCGGAGGGAACAGAACCCCAAAAGCAATAATGTTTCCGACCAAGCTTCCTTATTCTAGGATGCCCCTATCCCATGTACCAGGCAAGGAAAGAGGATCAGAAACTCCTACCTGACACATGTGCAGGCAGCCGGAAGAAGACGAGAGGGATGAGGCAGCCAGAGAGCCAGCAGCCAGCGGAACTCGCCATCTCCATCCGAACTAGGACAGACAGGACACAGCACAAGCGGGCTGATGGGCTTGGCGTGACAGAGGTTATGACCCAGGAGCCGGGCTGCCACAGCTTTGCTGGTGCTCTGGGATCACAAAGGCCGGGGCTCCAATCCCAGCTCTGCTACTTACCTCCTCGGGGTATTGCGACCGAACTTCTCTGAGACTGTTTCTTCATCTTCAAAACGGGTATTTTGTGAACTGTGCCTCCTTGAGGGATTATGGTGGGGGTTGAACGCGGTAAATGTTCACAAGGAGGCTGGCGTGCTACAAGTCTCTAAATGGAGTGAGTGAGGATGACGATGCAGATGAGATGAGTGAGGATCCAGAACTTATACCCAGAACTAACCAAGGAAACACCAGTAATGGTCTTTTTTTTATATAGATGGGGTTTCACTTTTGTTGCCCAGGCTGGAGTGCAATGTTGCGATCTCAGGCTCACCACAACCTCCACCTCCCGGGTTCAAGCGATTCTCCTGCCTCAGCCTCCTGAGTAGCTGGGATTATAGGCACCTGCCACCATGCCCAGCTAATTTCATATTTTTAGTAGAGATGGGGTTTCTCCTTCTTGGTCCCACCTGGGCCTCCCAGAGTGCTGGGATTACAGGCGTGAGCCACTGCGCCCAGCCATGGCCTCTTTTTATAGTTGGTGTCCAAGGCCAGGCTTGGGAAGTGCCTGTTTCAAGCCAATCTTTGCCCATAATGCAGCCTGGAGGTCTTCCCTGACAGTCTTCCAATGGACTCTTGACAAATAACAGATCAAGGCAGTGAGGTCCCTCCATGTCACCCTGAAGGCACTAATCCTACAAATTCAGTGTCTGGAGCAAGAAAGACCTGGGTTCAAGTCTTAGCTCTGCCTATTAGTAGCTCTGTGTCCCTAGGAAGGTTGCATAACATCTCTGGGCCTTGGATTCTTAATCTATAAAGGGGAATCGTCCTCACAGGTGAGTGTGAGGGTTCAAAGAGATAGTCCCTGCAAAGCACTGGCCACAAATGCCTGGCAGAACAAGTGCTCAATAAGCGTGTAGTGGTTGTTATTATTACTTACTAAATGAGGAAAATTATCCCTGGCAGGTACAGATGACTGTGTGCATTAACCACAGGGAGACCCTAACGGATTTCCTCCTGTAAAGCTCTTTCGCCACCTGCTTGCTACTGCCTGAAATTGCTTTAGCAGGAAACAGAATTTCTCATGCCACAAGTGAGGATAAAGTTTAAAATATAAAAACTCTAGGAAAAGACAACTCATCTCTTAAATTCTCTCCAAGGTTCAAATCCTTTCCAAAGAGGAGGCTTTTGTATAAGTCAGTAGGCCCAGTCCCTGAAGGTCATGGAAAAGGTCATGACCTTTGGCACATGGAGGAGGTGTCAAACGGAGATTGGGAAACTGAAAATTAAACACATTCTCATTTTGAACACCCAATTCTGTTTCTTATGGCAAAGAGCACACTGTTTTTTTTGTTTTTTTTGAGACGGAGTTTTGCTCTTGTTACCCAGACTGGAGTGCAATGGCGCGATCTCGGCTCACCGAAACCTCCACCTCTTGCATTCAAGCAATTCTCCTGCCTCAGCCTCCTGAGTAGCTGGGACTACAGGCACGCACCACCATGCCCAGCTAATTTTTATATTTTTAGGAGAGACGGTGTTTCACCTTGTTGACCAGGATGGTCTCGATCTCTTGACCTCGTGATCCACCTGCCTCGGCCTCCCAAAGTGCTGGGATTATAAGCGTGAGCCACCATGCCTGGCCTAGATCACACTGGTTTAAGGTTGTTCTTGTTTTAAAATAAGTTATATTTTATACAACATACCCCTCTAACCAAATGACAACATACCACTAGGCCATAGTGAGGTTAGGATCATATTAGAACACATTTTTTGTGACTGTCCCACCCACTGTCACCAGCTACTCAAAAACAACACAAGAGAAGTTAAGTAAATGAGAAACACTCTCTATTTTATCAATTATGGTTGAAGGTAGAAGTAGGCAGTGCCCATGATTTCCTAGAGTTATCCCCAAGCCCCAAATCCCTGAACTTTCTAGTGACTATGAAGCACACCCTGGGTAGACATGCCCAGAGTGACACAGAGCTCCAAGCTAACCCAAAGCTGCCTGAAATTGAATAGGAGCCATATTCCAAGATTCATACAATCTATGAAGTGGTGAAGAGGGTGAGCTTTAGGCTGGGCATGGTAGCTCACGCCTATAACCCTACATTTTGGGAAGCCAAGGCAGGAGGATCACTTGAACTCAGGAGTTAGAGACTAGCCTGGGCAACATAGCAAGACTCCATCTCTACAAAAAATAAAAGAGGATTAGCTTGGTATGGTGGCACACACCTGTAGTCCTAGCTACTCAGGAGGTTGAAGTGGGAGGATTACTTGAGCCTGGGAGGTTGAGGCTGCAGTGAGCCGTGATTACACCACTGCACTCCAATCTGGATGACAGAGTAAGACCCTGCCTCAAAAAAAAAAAAAAACTTTAAAAAAAAGGATGACCTCTAGAGTCAGCCTGGGTTCGAGTCCCGGCTCTGCCATTTCCTAGCTGATGGCCTTAGACAGTTTAGTTTACTTCAAACCTCCTCTTGCTCACACATGAAATGAAATAATAGTAGTAATATAACCCTCATAGACAGGGTTATAGTGAGGTTCAAAGAAAATACATGTAAAATGATTTGCACCAGATGCTGGAAATAAGAAGCAAATGAATTCCTCCTGTTAGATTGTCACTCTATGCAAGAAGCGCCACCAGGTCTTTTATTTCATATTTTATTTTATTTTATTTTTTTTTGAGACGGAGTTTCGCTCTTGTTACCCAGGCTGGAGTGCAATGGCGCAATCTCGGCTCACCGCAAGCTCCGCCTCCTGGGTTCAGGCAATTCTCCCGCCTCAGCCTCCTGAGTAGCTGGGATTACAGGCACGTGCCACCATACCCAGTTAATTTTTTTTTTTTTTTTTGTATTTTTAGTAGAGACGGGGTTTCACCATGTTGACCAGGATTGTCTCGATCTCTTGACCTCATGATCCACCCGCCTCGGCCTCCCAAAGTGCTGGGATTACAGGCGTGAGCCACTGCGCCCAGCTATTTCATATTTTCTTATGCAGATGTAAGAAACATCTGGTCACTATACTTATCTCCAGGATTTATTCTTCTAATCTAATTGGCCAGGATGGTCCCTTCCTCCATCTCATCAACATGTAATATATCAATATTGTAGTAGTCAACATCCTATTAAGGTATGGCTGAATTAACACTAAATCATAAATATGTTTCTAAATTGTAATATTGTTCTAAATCAATAATGGCTCCTATTTATTGCATTTGTAGGTCTCTCTATATATTGTCTTCAGTACTGACATCTCTGAAAAGTAGGTATTATTCTCTTTTACACTTAGAACAGGAAAGGCAATCATATACAAATCAGGGTACTGAAGTGAATTGCCAGGATCCTTTCTGGAAGCAGATAGAATGGAAAACATGGATAAACAAATGAATGAATACATGCCTGCATAACCCTGTATTGCAAGTTTAAAAATGAGCAAATGACCACCTCACTTTACAGAGTGATTATCATGGAATCCCTTTACAAAGAAAATTTCCCTAGCAAATATAAAATACAATTTCACTTCCTAAAGTTCAATACACATGCCACAATCTGGGGCTTTTTCTGTCTTACTTACTGTAGAAAAATCTGGAAATTACCCAAAACAAGGACAAAAATTTCAAATCATCTGTAATTCCTCATGATCACACCCTGCACTCCAGTCTGGACAACAGAGCAAGACCCTGTCTCAAATAAATAAATAAATACTTTATATGCTGTTTTGATACCTTATATGTTCACCAAGTGCTACATTATGTGCATTTCCCAAGGTGATCAAATATTCTTTACATGACCTTAGGATTCCATTATGGACATAGAATTTTAGAAATTAGGTTATAAAATGTAAACGTTTTAAATAATTCTATATTGGAGGATATTTAGTTTGTTTTCCAATACATCACTATTATAAACATTGCTACAGGTGACAGTGAACTGAGGGCTAGAATCAGGGGGCTCAGTCCTAGTCTTGGCTTGTTCCCTTACTTCTGCATGACTTTGTAACTTTTTTCTTTTTCTTTTTTTTTGAGACTGAGTCTCGCTCTGTCGCCATGCTGGCATGCAGTGGCGCGATCTCGGCTCACTGCAACCTCCTCCTGAGTAGCTGGGACTATCTATAGGTGTGCACCACCATACCCAGCTAATTTTTGTGTTTTTAGTAGAGACAGGGTTTCACCACGTTGGCCAGGATGTTCTCGATCTCCTGATCTTGTGATCCGCCCGCCTCGGCCTCCCAAAGTGCTGGGATTACAGGCATGAGCCACCACACCTGTTCGTGAATTTGTAACTTTAAGCAGGTCACTTAGATTCTTAGGCCTTGAGTTTCCCATCTTTAAAATGGAAAGACTTTTCATTTGCACTGCCAAATTGCCCTCCAGAAAAGTCATATTAATTTACCAAAGTATTATGTGAAATTTCATGTTTTCCCACAACCTTACTATCACTGGATGTTATCATTTTTAAAAAATATTTGCCAATTTGATGAGTAACAAAATGCTATCTCTTTTTTTTTTTAATTTGATGGTGTTCCATTTTAATTTGTATTTCTTTGATTACTCACTTGTTATTTGGATTTTGTCAATTACCTGTCTATGTACTTTGTTCATTTTTCTATTGGGACATTCGTCTCTTAATGGCTTGTAATATTCTTCATAAATTAACCATTTTTTTTCCACTACATGTGTTGGAAATATTTTCCCCTAGGCAGTTATTTCCATTTTAAGTTTGAAACAGTTTAATTTTTAAAACTTCTAAATCAGAAAAAAGATTGTAACAGATGTTCTCTTGACAATCCCAAGCAGTTTAAGATGACCTTGCAAATCTGCAAATGATCAGTCTGAAAGCACACAGCACAGAGTCCAGCAAATAGTGAGAGCTAAATAAGCACTGTCTGTAATTTAATCATGCTGACAATGTTACTTAAATAAGAGTCCTGTGAGAAAACCCATCCAGCTCTCTTGTCACTTGTCTCCTTTTGTGTTTCTTTAGTGAGAGCTAACAGCTGCCCCATTTCATCCTTGAAAATGTTCTTGTGCATAAGGAGAAGGGGTTATTTCGCTACTGAACCTGAGGATCCTGAGAAAGTTAAAGGACTAAACAACATGAAGAGAGGGGAGAACTTACCACCTTCTGGATCATGGACTCTTGTTCCTCTCACAGGCAAAGCTGGAGTTTGCAAGCTGGAAACACTCCTGACCCATGAAGAGAGATCAGGGGGCAGCAGGCAGAAGCATCAGGAAGGTTGAGGGATGTGGGCCAGGGAAAGTTCATATTTTATAAAATGAGAGGCCAGGGCTCTCTCTGCCCCACAGTACTCCTTTCTAACTGTCCCTGTAAACCAGCAAACCACACCCTGTCTGTCAGCCTTTGATAAAAGAACAGAGCAAAGAGGAGGCTCCCAAAAATCGAGGGAACCACTGAGTATGATTGACCAGGTAGAAGAGACCTTTGCCCTCCGCTGCCTTTTCCTCCAATGCTGCCAATAGTAATTCTCTTTGATGTGTTTTGATCCTATCACATTCTTTCTAAAAACCTTCCCTTCCCCTCTTTACTTTTCAAATCAGAGTAAATTGGAAGATTGGTTTCAAAGACATCCACCAATTAGCCACCTTCTTTAACTCACTATCTTTATCTCCAGCTACACCCTGACATGTGCCTTCTGACAAGCAAACTTGCTGACTGTTCAACATGTGATAAACGCTTCCCTCCTGTCTTGCTTTCATAATATCCTTAACTGTATATTCATAATCTCCATAATTATATCCTTAATAATACATTATACATTTATGTCTTTTTAAAGATGGAGCCCATTGTCCATAATTCCCAATGATTCCCTTTTTTTATCCAACATTAATTTCTGAGTCTAGCAGACATCTGTGGTGGCCCCCACCATGTCCCCTCAGCCCACTCAATTTTGGTGTAGCTGAGACTTGCAGGCAAGCTGCCAGCATGCCCCCTCACAGGCCACAGCATCCTTCAGCTTACCTGCCTCAGGGCTCTCTACAAAGCCTTGGAAGGCTGTGCAACCCAGGATTTCACCAAAGCCAAAGTCTTGGAGACAGAAACAGCAGTGAGGGGAGTCAAGGAAAAATGCTCCAGCCTTACACCTTCAGCTCTGCGCTGTATTCTGCATGATTCCTTCAAATGTTCCCAATGTGACTGAGCACGTACTCAATAGTGACAGGTGCTCCATATTGCACCTTTTATTGACTTTTTTCCTTCTCTGCTCACTCCCATTTCTGCTTCCTGGGATTACCTCCTAAACACACCCCTGCACCAAAAGACTTGTCTCACATCTCATACTCTGTTTTGGGGGAGTACAAATTATGACACTGAAATTAATCTAGTTTGTTTCACAGAGCCCTATGATATTCATTCACTGCTATAGAGTATAGTAGACCATTATATAAATCTACCAACAGTTTCTTTCATCCCTTACTGATAGAAATGTGGGCTGTTTCCAGGCATTTGCTTTTATAAACAGTACTGCCCTGAACATTCTTGATAGATATTTCCTGCTCACATGTGCAAGAGTTCCTCTAGAGCAGCAGTTCTTAATGTGTGGTCCATGAACCTTGGACGTCCCTGAGGCCCTATCAGCCAGGTTAAAACTACATTCATCAGAATAAAGACGTTGTTTGCCTTTTTCATGATATTGACATTTTCAAGGACCCTGCAAAAGCAACAATGGGTAAAACTGCTAGCACAAATCAGCAAGTGGCACCAAACTGTAGTAGAAGTTACAAATTTTATTAAATCTCAACTCTTAGAGACACATCTTTTCAATATTCTGTGTGACAAAATGGGAAGGATGCATAAGCAGTTATGCTGCATATCAAAGTATGATGACTTTCTCGAGGAAAAAACCTTAAGTGATTGAGTTGTGAGCTGAAGTAACCACTGGACTCACAGAGCACCATTCTTACCTGAAAGTACAGCTGAAAGACAAAGTATAATCATTCAGACGTGGGTATCTGGCAGACATTTTCTCCAAAATGAATAAAGTGCACCTGTCACTTCAAGAAAAGCAACTGACAGTGTTTATTGTCAATGGAAAATTCAACCTTTTGGGCAAAAATTTGAATTTTGGACAATTTTTATCTGCTATTATGAGCTTGATACCCTCACAATAGTAAAAGACTTCTGATGAGATTGGTATTGGTATTAATAAATGCGATGTTTTGATGTTGTATAATGAAATGTGTCAACATTTAGAAGATGTGCATAACTCAGTGACCCGGCAACTTCCAAATGACCAATGCATGTGTTGACAAAACCCTGCATGGGTAAAACATTCATTCAAAATGCAAAAAAAACTGTGAGTGTTGCTATAATAGAGTATAAAAAGGTCATTGCTATGGTTTCAGATTTCATGTTACAATAAAACTTTAAAAAACTACCACTTGCTGAGTTTTGGTGTCTTATCAAAGAACATCCACGATTAACTGAAAAGGCTAATGAAATGTTCCTTTTCCAATTACATACACATCAACCACAAAACATATTGCAGCAGACTGAAAGATATAGCTGGCTTGAGAATACAGCGGTCTTCTATTGAGCCAGACATCTAAAAGATTTACAGCCATTAAAAAGAATAAAATCCTGTCATTCAAAGAGACATGGATGGAACTAGAAGACATTATGTTAAGGGAAATAAGCCAGGCACAGAAAGTTAAATACCACATGTTCCCACTCATAGATGTTAAAAAGAAATTAATCTCATAGAAGTAAAAAAACAGAATAGAAGTTACTAGAGGCTGGAGAGGGAAGGGGAGGATAGGGAGAGATTTGTTCAATAACACAAAATCACAGCTAGGTAGGAGGAAAAACTTCTAGTGTTTTGTAGCACTGTAGGATGAGCATAGTTAACAATAATATATTATGTAGTTTCAAATAAAGAAGAAAGGATATTGAATGTCCCCAACATATAACAATGACAAATGTTTGAGATGATACATATGTTTATTACCCTGATACCCCTGATATGTACCATACCCCATGAATATGTACCATATGTGTCAATTAAAAATTAATTAGGGTCAGGTGTGGTGGCTCACATGCGTAATCCTAGGACTTTGGGAGGCCGAGGCAGCCGGATCACCTGAGGTCAGGAGTTAGAGACCATCCTAGCCAACATGGCGAAATCCTGTTTCTGCTAAAAGTACAAAAATTAGCCAAGCATGGTGGCATGCTCCTATAATCCCAGCTACTCAGGAGGCTGAGGCACGAGATTTGCTTGAACCTGGGAGGTGGAGGTTACAGTGAGCTGAGATCGTACCACTGCACTCCAGTGTGGGTGACACTCGGTCTCAAAAAAAAAAATTAGTTAATTAATTTTTTTTTTTTTTAATTTTTTATTGGATTATAGGTTTTGGGGTACATGAGCAGAGCATGCAAGACAGTTGCGTAGGTACACACATGCAGTGTGCTTTGCTTTTCTTCTCCCCTTCACCCACATTTGGCATTTCTCCCCAGGCTATCCCTCCCCACCTCCCCCTCCCACTGGCCCTCCCCTTTTCCCCCCAATAGACCCCAGTGTTTAGTACTCCCCTTTCTGTGGCCATGTGTTCTCATTTTTCATCACCCACCTATGAGTGAGAATATGCGGTGTTTCATTTTCTGTTCTTGTGTCAGTTTGCTGAGGATGGTGTTTTCCAGATTCATCCATGTCCCTACAAACGACACGAACTCATCATTTCTGATTGCTGCATAATATTCCATGGTGTATATGTGCCACATTTTCCCAATCCAGTCTATTATCAGTGGGCATTTGGGTTGATTCCAGGTCTTTGCTATTGTAAACAGTGCTGCAATGAACATTCGTGTACATGTGTCCTTATAGTAGAACGATTTATAGTCTTTTGGATATATACCCAGTAATGGGATTGCTGGGTCAAATGGAATTTCTATTTCTAAGGCCTTGAGGAATCGCCACACTGTCTTCCACAATGGTTGAACTAATTTACACTCCCACCAACAGTGTAGAAGTGTTCCTTTTTCTCCACATCCTCTCCAGCATCTGTTGTCTCCAGATTTTTTAATGATCGCCATTCTAACTGGCGTGAGATGGTATCTCAATGTGGTTTTGATTTGCATCTCTCTGATGACCAGTGACGATGAGCATTTTTTCATATGATTGTTGGCCTCATATATGTCTTCTTTCGTAAAGTATCTGTTCATATCCTTTGCCCACTTTTGAATGGGCTTGTTTGTTTTTTTCCTGTAAATCTGCTTGAGTTGTTTGTAAATTCTGGATATCAGCCCTTTGTCAGATGGGTAGACTGAGAAAATTTTTTCCCATTCTGTTGGTTGCCGATCCACTCTAGTGACTGTTTCTTTTGCCGTGCAGAAGCTGTGGAGTTTCATTAGGTCCCATTTGTCTATTTTGGCTTTTGTTGCCAATGCTCTTGGTGTTTTGTTCATGAAGTCCTTGCCTACTCCTATGTCCTGGATAGTTTTGCCTAGATTTCCTTCTAGGGTTTTTATGGTGCCAGGTCTTATGTTTAAGTCTTTAATCCATCTGGAGTTAATTTTAGTGTAAGGTGTCAGGAAGGGGTCCAGTTTCTGCTTTCTGCACATGGCTAGCCAGTTTTCCCAACACCATTTGTTAAACATGGAATCCTTGCCCCATTGCTTGCTTTTGTCAGGTTTATCAAAGATTGTATAGTTGTATGTATGTTGTGTTGCCTCCGGTGCCTCTGTTTTGTTCCATTGGTCCATATCTCTGTTTTGGTACCAGTACCATGCCGTTTTGATTACTGTAGCCTTGTAGTATAGTTTGAAATCCGGTAGTGTGATGCCCCCCGCTGTGTTCTTTTTGCTTAGAATTGACTTGGCTATGCGGGCTCTCTTTTGATTCCACATGAAGTTTATGGTGGTTTTTTCCAGTTCTGTGAAGACAGTCAATGGTAGCTTGATGGGGATAGCGTTGATTCTGTAAATTACTTTGGGCAGTATAGCCATTTTCACGATATTAATTCTTCCTAACCATGAACATGGAATGTTTCTCCATCTGTTTGTGTCCTCTCTGATTTCGTTGAGCAGTGGTTTGTAGTTCTCCTTGAAGAGGTCCCTTACGTTCCTTGTGAGTTGTATTCCAAGGTATTTTATTCTTTTTGTAGCAATTGCGAATGGCAGTTCACTCTTGATTTGGCTTTCTTTAAGTCTGTTATTGGTGTAGACGAATGCTTGTGATTTTTGCACATTGATTTTATATCCTGAGACTTTGCTGAAGTTGTTTATCAGTTTCAGGAGTTTTTGGGCTGAGGCGATGGGGTCTTCTAGGTATACTATCATGTCGTCTGCAAATAGAGACAATTTGGCTTCCACCTTTCCTATTTGAATAACCTTTATTTCTTTTTCTTGCCTGATTGCTCTGGCTAGAACTTCCAGTACTATATTGAATAGAAGTGGTGAGAGAGGGCATCCTTGTCTAGTACCAGATTTCAAAGGGAATGCTTCCAGTTTTTGCCCATTCAGTATGATATTGGCTGTTGGTTTGTCATAAATAGCTTTTATTACTTTGAGATACGTTCCATCGATACCGAGTTTATTGAGGGTTTTTAGCATAAAGGGCTGTTGAATTTTGTCAAATGCCTTCTCTGCGTCAATTGAGATAATCATGTGGTTTTTGTTTTTGGTTCTGTTTATGTGGTGAATTACGTTGATAGACTTGCGTATGTTGAACCAGCCTTGCATCCCCGGGATGAATCCTACTTGATCATGATGAATAAGTTTTTTGATTTGCTGTTGCAAATCGGCTTGCCAATATTTTATTGAAGATTTTTGCATCTATGTTCATCATGGATATTGGCCTGAAGTTTTCTTTTCTCGTTGGGTCTCTGCCGGGTTTTGGTATCAGAATGATGTTGGTCTCATAAAATGATTTGGGAAGGATTCCCTCTTTTTGGATTGTTTGAAATAGTTTTAGAAGGAATGGTACCAGCTCCTCCTTGTGTGTCTGGTAGAATTCGGCTGTGAACCCGTCTGGACCTGGGCTTTTTTTGTGAGGTAGGCTCTTAATTGCTGCCTCAACTTCAGACCTTGTTATTGGTCTATTCATAGTTTCAGCTTCCTCCTGGTTTAGGCTTGGGAGGACACAGGAGTCCAGGAATTTATCCATTTCTTCCAGGTTTACTAGTTTATGTGCATAGAGTTGTTTGTAATATTCTCTGATGATGGTTTGAATTTCTGTGGAATCTGTGGTGATTTCCCCTTTATCATTTTTTATTGCATCTATTTGGTTGTTCTCTCTTTTCTTTTTAATCAATCTGGCTAGTGGTCTGTCTATTTTGTTGATCTTTTCAAAAAACCAGCTCTTGGATTTATTGATTTTTTGAAGGGTTTTTCGTGTCTCAATCTCCTTCAGCTCAGCTCTGATCTTAGTAATTTCTTGTCTTCTGCTGGGTTTTGAGTTTTTTTGATCTTGCTCCTCTAGCTCTTTCAATTTTGACGATAGGGTGTCAATTTTGGATCTCTCCATTCTCCTCATATGGACACTTATTGCTATATACTTTCCTCTAGAGACTGCTTTAAATGTGTCCCAGAGGTTCTGGCATGTTGTGTCTTCGTTCTCATTGGTTTCGAAGAACTTCTTTATTTCTGCCTTCATTTCGTTGTTTACCCAGTCAACATTCAAGAGCCAGTTGTTCAGTTTCCATGAAGCTGTGCGATTCTGGGTCGGTTTCTGAATTCTGAGTTCTAACTTGATTGCACTATGGTCTGAGAGGCTGTTTGTTATGATTTCAGTTGTTTTGCATTTGTTGAGCAGTGCTTTACTTCCAATTATGTGGTCAATTTTAGAGTATGTGTGATGTGGTGCTGAGAAGAATGTGTATTCTGTGGATTTGGGGTGGAGAGTTCTGTAATGTCCACCAGGTTTGCTTGCTCCAGGTCTGAGTTCAAGCCCTGGGTATCCTTGTTGATTTTCTGTCTGGTTGATCTGTCTAGTATTGACAGTGGAGTGTTAAAGTCTCCCACAATTATTGTGTGGGAGTCTAAGTCCTTCTGTAAGTCATTAAGAACTTGCCTTATGTATCTGGGTGCTCCTGTGTTGGGTCCATATATGTTTAGGATCGTTAGCTCTTCTTGTTGTATCGATCCTTTTACCATTATGTAATGGCCTTCTTTGTCTCTTTTGATCTTTGTTGCTTTAAAGTCTATTTTATCAGAGATGAGAATTGCAACTCCTGCTTTTTTTTGCTTTCCATTAGCTTGGTAAATCTTCCTCCATCCCTTTATTTTGAGCCTTTGTGTATCCTTGCATGTGAGATGGGTTTCCTGGATACAGCACACTGATGGGTTTTGGATTTTTATCCAATTTGCCAGTCTGTGTCTTTTGATTGGTGCATTTAGTCCATTTACATTTAGGGTTAATATTGTTATGTGTGAATTTGATACTGCCATTTTGATGCTAAGTGGCTGTTTTGCCTGTTAGTTGTTGTAGATTCTTCATTATGTTGAAGCTCTTTAGCATTCAGTGTGATTTTGGAATGGCTGGTACTGATTGATCCTTTCTATGTGTAGTGCCTCTTTTAGGAGCTCTTGTAAAGCAGGCCTGGTGGTGACAAAATCTCTGAGTACTTGCTTGTTCGCAAAGGATTTTATTCTTCCTTCACTTGTGAAGCTCAGTTTGGCTGGATATGAAATTCTGGGTTGAAAGTTCTTTTCTTTAAGAATGTTGAATATTGGCCCCCACTCTCTTCTGGCTTGTAGTGTTTCTGCCGAGAGATCTGCTGTGAGTCTGATGGGCTTCCCTTTGTGGGTGACCTGACCTTTCTCTCTGGCTGCCCTTAGTATTCTCTCCTTTATTTCAACCCTGTTGAATCTGATGATTATGTGCCTTGGGGTTGCTCTTCTTGCGGAATATCTTTGTGGTGTTCTCTGTATTTCCTGCAATTGAGTGTTGGCCTGTCTTGCTAGGTGGGGGAAATTTTCCTGGATGATGTCCTGAAGAGTATTTTCCAGCTGGGATTCATTCTCTTCGTCCCCTTCTGGTACACCTATCAAACGTAGGTTAGGTCTTTTCACATAGTCCCACATTTCTTGGAGACTTTGTTCATTCCTTTTTGCGCTTTTTTCTCTGATCTTGGTTTCTCGTTTTATTTCATTGAGTTGGTCTTCGACTTCAGATATTCTTTCTTCTGCTTGGTCAATTCGGCTATTGAAACTTGCGTTTGCTTCGCGAAGTTCTCGTATTGTGTTTTTCAGCTCCTTTAATTCATTCATATTCCTCTCTAAGGTATCCATTCTTGTTATCATTTCCTCGAATCTTTTTTCAAATCTTTTTTCAAGGTTCTTAGTTTCTTTGCATTGATTTAATACATGATCTTTTAGCTCACAAAAGTTTCTCATTATCCATCTTCTGAAGTCTAATTCCATCATTTCGTCACAGTCATTCTCCGTCCAGCTTTGTTCCCTTGCTGGTGAGGAGTTTTGGTCCTTTCTAGGAGGCGATGTGTTCTGGTTTCGGGTGTTTTCCT